GCTGTTGATTTCCCTTCTGCCCATGCCGCCGCCGCGTTTGGAGTTGCCACTTCCGCGTTTGGAGCACTGCCACTGTTTGGAGCACTACCGCCATTTGGAGCGCCGCCGCCACTCCAAACACGGCGGCAGCTCCAAACACAGAAGTGACAGCTCCAAACATGATGGCAGTGCTCCAAATGGTGGCAGCACTCCAAATGGCAGCAGCACTCCAAACACGGAAGCGGCAGCTCCAAATATGGCGGTGGAATGGGCAGAAGGGAAAGCAACAGCGGCGGGTGCCAAAGGTCTTGGGTCTGCAGCAAAGGTGTTTGGTGGGAGTAGGGAGCTCTCCGCGCTCTGCCATGATCGCCCATTAGGAGCAGCTGGTGGCGAGGCTGCCCGCAGGGCACTCTAGATTAGGATGCAAGGGGGAAATTAAGTCACCCCCAAAAAGACGGCCTAGCCGTTTTTTCGGGGCTCAAAAAAATATAAGACCCGGCTTTATTTTATGAGAAACACGGTACCACTCTATAAAGCCTTAGTAAGACTAGACTACTGCATCCAGTTTTGTTCACCACATTAGAAAAAGTACAGAAAAGAGCAACCAGGATAATTAGGGGACTGGAGACCAAAACATATGAAAAACAGTTACAGGAACTGGGCTTGGCTAGTCTAGTAAAAAGAAGGACCAGGGGAGATATGATAGCAGTCTTCCAATATTTGAGGGGCTGCCATGAGGAGGAAGGGGTCAAGCTATTTTCTAAAGCCCCTGTAGGCCAACAAGGAATAATGGATGGAAACTGAACAAGGAGAGATTTAACCTGGAAATAAGAAGAAACTTTCTGACAGTGAGAACAATCAATCAATGGAACATCTTAGCTTCGGAAGTTGTGGGAGCACCATCATTTGAGACTTTCAAGAAGAGATTGGACTGCCATTTGTCAGAAATGGTGTAGGGTCCCCCGCTTGGGTGGGGTGTTGGACTAGATGACCTACAAGGTCCCTTCCAACTCTGATTATCTGTTATCTGTTAAATTATTATTCTAAAAAGCACCATATGGTGCTTTAATGTGTGTTATTTTTACTCCTGTGCATAACATTTTTGTTTCGGTGCATAAAAGGAACATCTTAAGTGAAACATACTCAAGTGAAATTTAAACTAATTATTTGCCACAATATTAAATCACCTGGAACTTTCCAACAGACTGCCAAAATGCAATTGAAAACACACAAGTGGTTTCCAACATATGTTGGAAGGTTAATATGTTACTTTACTTCACAGATAAAAAGTCAAATCCCCCTCAAATTAAGTTTCACTTTTGAAGTTCTGACTGATTTTTAGGGACTAGCTCTTGATTTTATGAAATAATTTGGGAGGTTGTCCAGTGACGCTGACAATACTGGAAGATGCATTGCATATTTGTTCAGCTATGTTCTTAAGGTGGAAATGGAGCAGGAAGCATCCCTGATGCATACTGTTTCAGTTTTTAAATACCTCAAATCTACAAAAACCTGGCTTTTGAATCCTACTGCTTTCAGATTCATTTTTGTTAGATATAATACATATGTATAGACTCATAATCACACATATTTGTAATGATCATCTATGAAAGGGTCATTTTTATTTTTTAGAATTAAGCTCCGTTCCTTCATGCTATGTTTATAGATATAAGTTTCATTTTTCAAGGATGTTTGCGGGTTTTTTTACTTCCCATAAATATCTCTATCTCCATCTCCAGCTCTACAGATAGTTCTTGACTTACAATTCATTTAGTGACAGTTCAAAGTTACAACGGCACAGAAAAAAATGATTTATGACCATCTTTCACACTTAGGGCCATTGCAGCATCCCCTTGATCATGTGATCAAAATTTAGGTGCTTGGCAACTGACTTATATTTATGATGGATTGCAGTGGTCCGGAGTCATGTGATCACCTTTTGCAACCTTCTGACAAGCAAAGTCAGGTGAAGTCAGGTTCACCTAACGACTGTGTTACTAAATTAAGAATTGCAGTGATTCACTTAAGAAGTGTGACAAGAAAGGTCGTAAAATGAGACAAAATTTACATAACAAATGACTCAATTAGCAAAAGAAATTTTGGGCTCCACTGTAAGTCAAGATGTATATATATGTGTGTGTTTGTGTGTATGTTTGTATATCCATATATCTATATCTATATATTCATCCATACACACACACACACACACACACACACACACACACACACAGAGCACATACGTTACCTATTATCAGAATAAAACAAAAATGCAATCATTCCTACCTTTTTAAAATGAACAGAAGCACAAAGCCGAAGACACAAGCCTGAAGATGATGAATGAGACTTCATCGAAACGTTGCCTAGATATTTCCAATTTTAAGTGGGAGAAAACCGGAATAACCAAAGATCCACATACAAATACCCGCGAAAACCTCAGAAAACGTATGTATGTATGTATGTATATATGTATGTATGTATGTTCTGTCTCACTTTTCTTCTTTCCCAAAAGATGAAAGAATACAAACTCACACAAACACAGGCAGGCAAGTTGGCTCAGACTTCACAGAGTTAATTCTTTGGAACTGATAATATCCTTGGCATTCCAACACGCTCTGCCTGCCAAGTCCGAACTGATAACAAATAAAAATCTACTTACAGAAAATTACAAGGCAGTCCACAAAAATCATTCACGAAGAAAATCTGAAGTAAGATTAAACTTTGTCCCGTACAAAGTTCCAGCCGAAAACACACCCACTTTTATCTCCTGTGGGGTGTGGCTCAATGACTCAGCTCACTCTCTGACCCTCCCATGCCTCCTACGTTGCTGCTCACATTTCTTCGTACAACGCTGCTTAGGATCAAGCTAACACTCTTCCTTTTTACTCCCTGTCAGGGGCTGCTCCGATATGCCTTCCTCCTGATTAATCTCAGGCTGTTCCTCTCGGTTGTCTGATGAAACCTGAGGCATTATCAGGGAGGAAGGCATTGCCAGAGAGGAAGGTCCTGGGGAGGAAGGCATTCCCAGTTCCTCCTCCTCATCTTCCAGGTCTTCTTCCTCTGACAGCATAGGCTCGGGAATCTGGGCCACAATATATATATATATATATATATATATATATATGTTTTCTGAGGTTCTCGCGGGTATTTATATGTAGATCTTTGGTTGTTCGGGTTTTCTCCCGCGTAAGATTTGAAGTATCTAGGATACCGAACACTTCAAAACCGAACACTTCAACAGCAGAATAATCAGAGAAGCCATAGAGATAGAAAAACGCCCACACAGCATGAACAAACGAGATGACACCTCCCGCCTTCCAGCCATTTGGAAACCCGCCCTCATGAACAGACGAGTACCTAACATGAAGAAGGACACTGGACCCACACCCATGAGAGCCACACAAGATGCCACCACCACACTTCCATGTAGAAAACAGACTCCCACCCATTCAGAAAATGAGAAACGACCATGGACCAGAAGCTGCACTGCAGCTGCATCACTACCCACTTCAAACCCCTCTGAGCCATACATGAAGCAAACCAACACCCACTATGAAGATGCAGCAGGACCACGAACTAGAAGCCAAACAGCAAGATCACAACTCTCCAGCTCAAATCCCCCAGCAACTAAAACTAACCTGAGCACAACCAAGCCCCCTCCTGAACAGAACACGCCTCCAACCAATCATAACACGGCTAACCCCCCAACCAATCAGAACACAGCCAAACCCCCTACCAATGAGAACACAACCCCACCCAATCAGAACACAGCCAAGTCCCCACCCAATCAAGTTCCACCCCCACTGGCAGTTAAAAGGAGGAAGCAGCTGCAATCTCCATTACTCTGAGAAGCACAGAGCTGGAGACAGAAGCCTGAAGATGATGAATGAGACTTCATCGAAACGTTGCCTAGATACTTCAAATCTTACGCGGGAGAAAACCCGAACAACCAAAG